ATTATGAGAAATGAGCAGTTTGTATTGCAATAGACTGTACCAAAAATGGCAATCCTGCGTTGCCACAGCAAGTAGAATTCCTAGTTATGCCAATGGAAAATAAGTTAATAATGTAATCTGATATTCCTGGAACTGGCTACAGATTCAAGAAATTTGCATAGAGAATTCTACCTTGAGGAAATTCGGATTTGGTAGTAGGGAGCCAGGCAAAGGTGTCAAGAGAAGAAGTGTTGGGTACTGGAATCAGAAGTCTTAGAGGATGAGGACCCTGGCTCCTCCCCAAGTGAGGCCCACAGATAGTTTTACCTGTTTCATGTGCTCAGTAATCAGTAGCTAAAATGTGCATATTGATAAAAGTGTGAATATTGTGTCTCATCCACAGTGAAATTAAAATCTCCCTCAGTGGGTTTGTTGCTCAGAAACAATAAGATATTTTGAGTGGAAGGTTCTAGAACAAGGGAGATGGCATCTTTGCAGCTGGATTATTACCCAGAATTTATAATATACTATATGCAGAATGTTCTAGAATCACATGTCTCTTCCCTTCACGGTAATTTCCAAGCCTAAATCTAGAACAGGGAGATGCCTTCCTGGGTGGTGAGGTTGTTGCTCAGAATGTATAAGGTATTGTGAGTGGAAAGTATACAACAGGAGAGATTCTTTTTAAAAGGAAAGTATGAAATTGGGCTTCCATGCAAAAGCTTCATAGGGTCTCTTGACCATTAGACCCTCTAATGGGGATTCTAGGCAGGCTTGGAAAAGACTGAGCTGCAAGCACACAGTATTGTGATGTGACTCAGATCTATGCCAGATGGGAACAAGAAGTTTTAGAAAATGGAAAGTTACCATGACTCAAATATAAAGCACAGAAGATATAATTATCCTGAGCAATTGGTAAAGTACAAGAAAAGAGCGTCTCTTCCACATGATGTTGGAAAGCGTGTCCAAGATGAAACAGAAGTGTAGTGACATTTCTTCCCTTACATATCCAAATATACTGTTTAGTCTTTCAGTGTACTGCATGTACACAATCACGACAGAGAAATGCCACTTACTCTTCCATAATTAGTCCATAGACGGAATACAGAAGCTGTAACTAGAACAGCAGGCATTACAACATACATGAGATAAAATATTGAAGTGCTTTTTTAAATATGTAGAAAGAAAAAAGTATAACAAATGTATTTCTTCATCTACATTAGAAGATGAGAGTCCAAATTTACTCAATTATTAAACAAGGACAGAACTATCTATAGATGTAGATATACAGACAAGCAAATATTTTATTTAAAGATGTATAGACAGCAACATAGCAAAGTTTATGTGAGTGACATGCGTTATCTTTCAGAACAAAGTCAAGAGATGCTACTTAGAACTGGTGATAATCATAGTAAAATAATAATACCTAAATTATTTAACTCTTTCTGTGCTAGGTGCTGCCCTATACCCCTTACAGGTTTTAACTTATTTAACACTCAAAATAACCTGACTATTTAGCAATATTTTTCCTATGTAATGGATAACAAACTGAGGCACAAAGGATTAGGCAATTTGCCCAAACCCACATAAAAGGTAGCAAGATCATGAGTTTGAACATATTATTTATAATTATAGTGTTATCAGCCAGATATGGTGATGCAACCCCTGTAAACCCAGGGCTCGGGGGGATAAGTCAAGAGGATCATGATTTCAAGATTAGCTCAAGTTACACAGTGAGCTCAAAGCTGGCCTGGATGATATAGCAAGACTCTATCTCTTATTTTAAAACCACAGTGTTAGAAGTCATGAAAAGTTTTAAAACATGTTATGCTGAAGGTGATAGTCTCCAAGCTGGGGGTGATAACAAAATGAAAATAAATACTTTTAGCTATTGATTAATACTATCTGACTAGGAAATATTGGCTACCTGCCTGAAAAAATCATCTAACAGGAAAAAAACTATATCCATGTGTACTGTAAGGGAGCAATCAAGGCAAAGAGCAGATTCATCTTCCAGCTTCTGAAAGGCTTTTGTGAGAAGATGGGATTAAAACCACTGTATCTGGAAGGGGTAAAACCAAAGGCAAAGTCTGGAAGGTATGGAGGCAGAATACATTTCCCAAGAGATTTACCAGGGGAACCGTCCACAGAGGGAGGCTCCGTAGCAACCAGAGGGCCTGGTGGTGGGTGTGTGGTGGAGGAGACTCCAGCCCCAGATAAGAAGCCGTAGATGTGTTCTTGGTCCTCTAACCCTGAGAATCATCTGCTCCTTATCTTCACAGCAGTGTCCAAATGTAAACCAGAGTTAATCTGAATCAGAAGCACCAGCTCCAGGCTCAGCTCCGTAATATACAGGAGATGCCCCAGGAGAATCGGCCAGTTTCAGTATTTCTGAAAAATGACATCTGTAAATAGGTCCAGAATTATCACCTTAACTTCTACCATCAAGAAAAGTTCTCTCTTCACTTCTGGGATCCTTGTTTTACTTTATTCTCATCCTCTGAGCTGCAGTCCACAGTGAGTACATGGCTCACAATAATCTCAGCTCAGTAGCAGAGTTCATGCTCATGGGCTTTACTGACCACCCCAACCTGGAGATTCCCCTCTTCCTGGTGTTTCTCAGTTTCTATCTCGTCACCCTTCTGGGGAACATGGGGATGGTTATTCTCATCCGAGTGGACGCCCAGCTCCACACCCCAATGTACTTCTTCCTGAGCCACCTTGCCCTGCTGGATGCCTGCTACACCTCGGTCATCAC